TATTGAATTTTATTATCTTTTTCCTACCTTTGTAAGATTTTCTCCTGACCCTAGCTCGTGAAGGAGACTTTCCCAGCCCTAGTAGTGAAGTTTCCAGGTTGATTTTCTCCTGCCAGGCAGCCATGAATGGTGTCAATCCCAGGTCAGCTTCCTTGCACCCACCTCCTCGTTGTTCCTGCTTGGGCTGTGGCAAAGATGAACTGAGTGCTCAGTGATGCAGAGCTGAGATCACTGAAGTGTCAGGGAAACTGATTAAGCCAATGATTTCCTCTGACCAGCTGCAGGTTAATATCTCTGCATTACCTCCAACCCACCTTCCTGCAGCACGTTCACTTCAAAGAGCAATAACCTGGGTCGGTGTCCAGCAAAATTGTGTTGTTTGCTGCCTCCTTTTTCTGATGCTCATTCTAGCGTTTTCCTGCTTTCCTGTGAGTAACCTCTGCCCTGTGCAATGGAGCCCTGACCTGACATCCTCATCATCTGGAAACTTCATAGAGCTGGAGCACAGCACGAGCTGCAGGCGTGTCCTCGGAGCTGATACTGCTGAGACCCACGTCTGGTCCAGGCTGCAGCACAGCAGTGAAGTGGCCGATATTTTGGCAGCTGATTTTTCATGGTGCAGATAACTTTGTAAGTTTGAATGCTGATGCTCTTCTGAGAGGGGTTGTGGTGCCAGAGTGCTGGGCTGCTGCAGTAGTGGAGGGACTTTGAAACCACTGAGAGCTAATAATGTCCTCAAATTTGAACAGTTTAGCATGTGGAGTTTTTAAAAAATTACTGTAATTCACTCTTTTTGTTGTACATGTTACTGGTGACCCCCTGTAAGAATGTCCTGGGAGATCTTTGTAGAGCTTACATGTGACCCTTTAGTAAAAGTTGTAGGAAAACTGAGGCTGCTCTCCTGTGTCATAGAGAAGTATTATGTTTCCTTATTCATAAGACTATTTATAGGAGAGAGCATTATAAAAGTGCCATATACATAAAATAATTCAGGTTGTAAGAGTTCTCCAGAGGTCTCTAGCTCAAACCGTGCTCAAAGCAAGGCCAAAGTCAAAGTCAGCTCAGATGCCCAAGGCCTTTCTTGTTCAATTTAGTTTTCAGTATCACCGAGGAAGGACATGCATGGCCTCTCTGGTTCCTGTACTTAATCATCCTCATGGCAATGAATAATTCCTCACATTAATTCAGAATTTAATCTTTTTGCAATACAGCTGTGCTTAGACTCTGACTCTGCCTTATCTATAACCCCATCAGGGAGCTGCAGAGAGCAATCTATTAGCAGATAGCCATCTATTCTCCAGGATGAGGAATCTGAGCTCCTTCAGTTTCCCTGGAATGCCCTGTGCTCCAGTCCCTAGGCAGCCTGTTGGCCTCTGTTGGACTCATTCCTGTGTGTCAACATCTGCCTTTGCAGTGGGGCCAAGTACGTTTAATTCATTGCATAAGTAATGTGAAACCATGTTAGCCTTCACCTTCAGGGTACAAAGTTCTGCACAGGTCTTATTAGTTCAGGAAAACATCCACCGGCATTACCTGGATCAAGTTCTATTTAATAAGTTCATAAAACATGGATATGTTTTGATATCGAGATGTTTTAATCATATCAGTGACTTTATTTGCTTTATTGCTTAGTTCAAACGGGGCCTTCAGGCACTAAGACGCAGAGCTTCCATTTGTGCTCCATTGGTTTCTCCAGGCTTGTGGCTCAATGCGAATAGTTGTTCGCCACACTGTGGCCAAGAGAAAGCCAAAGATGAAAACTACAGTCTGAACTGTGTTCTGCAGGTGGTTTGAAGTGTGTAGCTCTTTCCATGAAAGAGCTACAACTACTTATTGTTATTTCCCACTTTTACAAAAGCTTTTCGTTAGTTAAATAATGTGACAAAACCCAGGAGGGTTTGGAAAAGTGCATGAAATAATTTTTAATTTGTTTGTCAGTGTATTATTTATGCTGAGAAGTCACATATCTGCTAAGAAAATTTTCCAACATCAGTTTTGATTATTTTAGAGAATATGAAATCAATACTGCAAAAAATTGTAGAGGAAAATGTAAAACAAGAAATTACTTGAGTAAGTGAGAGAGGATGTTGTATAATTGCCAAACCCTGCCCTGGTGTCAGCCCACAGACCCTATGGTGCTCAGGACCATAACAAGTGGTACATGGAGAAGTGGTACTGCCTTTGCTTACTTGCAGATCACAGAATCATAGAATTTTTTGGGTTGGAAGAGACCTTAAAGATCATCTTGTTCCAACCCTTCTGTCGTGGGCAGGGACATCTTCCGCTATCCCAGGTTGCTCCAAGCCTTGTCCAGCCTGGCCTTGAACACTTCCAGGGATGAGGCAGCCACAGCTTCTCTGGGCAACCTGTGCCAGGACCTCACCATCCTTACAGGGAAGAATTTCTTCCTAACACCAGACCTAAATTGACCCTCCTTCAGCTTAAAACCATTTCCCCTTGTTAAAAGTCCATCTTTAGCTCTCTTGTAGGATCTCTGTCCTTGTGCTGGCTGCTGCACACAGGAGGATTTTCCTTTAGCCAAATGGTCATTAGCCAGATGCAGCATCTGACTTTGAGGATTAGACGACCATAATGAAGTGGATTACAGCATGAGATCAGTGGCAGGATTGCAGACCAAATCCTCTTTCTAACAGTTCTTCCAGGAGTAGCTAGGAACTGAGCAACCTGTCCTACAGCATGAGCTTAGACAGCTGTGGGATTTTTCCAGGCTGTTTTCAGAGGTGAGATAATCTGGAACTGTAAATCTGGAGGCTGTGGATGTTATCTGGTTAAAGGCTGTGCACGTGTCTGAAACCTGGTGATTTCTGGGTGTTACTTTTGTGACTTGTCTGGGGGATACCTGAATGGTTCATGGGGGACTGGTGTTCCCCAGTCACCACTTAATTGTCACTGACTTGAGTCTCTCTAGATTGTCTGTAGATGAGAGAGTGAAGAAATGGATCTGCTGAACATCTGAGGCACTGTGGGGGTCAGAGGAAATCTGTGCTGCTCAGGGCCAGTAAGTGCCAGACCCGGTGCTGAACCCAGCAGTTGCAGTGGAAAATTTTTCTTTGATGTATGCAGGCAACACACGCCAACCTTTGGCAGGAATGTGCTCTCCACTCATCAGGAGAGAGGTTGGTGCTGCCTAGAGGACAACACTGTCCAGGGCAGGCAGCAGCATTGAGCACCATGTAGGAGGAAACCTGTCAAAAGCTGCCAGGTTGGGGCTGGGAAGTCCAGTGAGAATGATTCACAGAGGTCTTGCTGCCTGGCTAGAGAAGGCAGTGGCAAAGTTCATATTTAACCCAGAAAGATGGACCCTCTTCCAACTGTGCAGAGTCTATACGGGTGTTCTGATGAAGGCAGCAAGGTTGGCATGTGACAGCGTGCTCCTGCACACACTCAGGGAAAAGTATTTGGCTTCCAGACACCATCCCCAAGACACATTAGGGCAATACATCTTGAAGATGTGCCAAATCTATCTGAAATATTTATGTATGCTCCCTGTAATTTATGGAAACAATCACAGCAGCATAATTATTTTGATGCTTCTCCCTGTGAAGAAGCTCTTAGGCAAAAATGTAATCTGTATATCAACACAGCCATGCTGCAGCCTTCTGAGCATGCCAGTGCCAGCACAGGTGATTCCATACACTGTACAGTATATCCATCTAAGGATCAAAATATACCCTTTAGACTACTGTGATGTATCAGACACGAACATGTTTGCTTGGGCTGAATTTCAATGATTTCAGCTAAATTCCATTTGTCTGATGGGTGGTACCTTGTTTGTTCAAGGCAGCACCTGTAAAGCACCTTTTGCTCTGCAGCTCCCACAGTTCTGAAGCCTACCCTAGGCACAATGATTAGCTCCCACCACCAAAAAACCCCCCAGGTATTCTCTGGACCTGTGAAAGGCATGAGGAACTTAAGTTACAGGCAGAACCCACTCCTGCAAAATTACAGCTACTAAAACAGCAGAGGTGCAGACCTCCTCCTAGGAAGGAGCAATTTGGAGATGGCACAAAGGCTGCTGGTGAGAGACAGACAGGAAAATTGGGACAGCTCTTATATTTTAAGTGTCATTTTCTAAAATATCTGCAAGAGGAAAGGACCTACTGTACTTTCAAGTGTAGCTGGTGCTATGTAAATAGGTTCCCATACCTTCGGTGTCTTTTGTTCTTCAGATGGCTTGGCGGAACACTGAGTTGGTCGGTGTGTTTAACTGGGACTGGGTCTGTAAATAAGTGCTCCCTACTGGTAAGGTTCAAGTGACATTTTTAGTGACAGATTTTTAACCTGCTTTCAAGTCTTCTACTGAGCTCTTCTATACCCAGGCAGTGAAACTGTCAAGAAGCCTTTGCTTTAGTCAAACCAGTGCTAAACACCATTGGCTTCAGGTTAGACACAGTACTGCCAAACTTGCCTGACAAAGCTCAACCAGTTCTGCTGATGGCAAAGCCACACCTGACCTGTGTTTGTATCTAGTGGTGAATATGTGGGAAAAAAAAGCCACCCAAAAACAGAAAGGAAAGCAGAGACTTGGCCTGATCTGCAAACAGGATGATACTGCATCCTGCCTAAGCTGCTCCCTGAAGGGAGATGTTGCTCTGCGAGAGACAAATGAAGGGCCTACTGTTTACTCTCCTCAGTATTTTGTGCTCCTTATATTTCTACTAGAATCCTAAAGAGGTTCCTTTTGTACAAAGGACTGTTTGTTTGGTTTTGACCACTGGGACCTTGTGATACTTGTCTTGAGCTATTAACCAGGTGTCCAGCCAAAATCAATTGCCTAGCAGACGCAGACCATTACCTGAACAGTCAAGACCTCAATAAATATTACCAGCCTCATTGTACTGGTGACAGATTCTGCTGTTGTTTTATGTTACAGTTGAACAGTTTAGACATTGCATTTGTATATATTTGCAGTCAGCCTTGAAGAGACCATCTTGTGAGCAGCACAGGAGCTCAGCCTGCAGATTCAAGACACTTCCACCATGACTGCGGCGGGTGTTTTCGTGCTCCTCTCCTTCGCACTTTGCTGCATCCCAGGTGAGTAACTCTTAAGGTGCCACAGAAGCTTCGTGTCTGATTCCTGTCTGTCTTTAAAAGCATAAGATAGTGGCTTCGAAGAGAGAAAATCTTCTCCTTCAGAGCACTCGGCTGCCTTGATGCATTGGTATCGTGCAGGATGCAGGAGCATATTTCAGGACAGTCCTCAATGGCTCATGGCTGTAGCTGGTTGTCTGTCATAAATACAAATAACTGCAAGTGGAGTTCTGGGCTGGCAACTAGTGCTGTTACACTTTGTATACTGATGTTTTAACACCATTACACTGCTTAGACTTGTTGTACAATTACAGCAAATGGATCAATACTTGAAATAAGGCCATAAGAAGAGGGTCAGACCTCCAGTAACTAGTTGTGAAAATATTGTAATGTCACAGGCAAGTACTTTGCAGGACCCTGGCAAATTTCCTGCAATACTTTTTCTGCTAATAGAACAACAAGAGGTGAAAACAAGCCAGAGTCTGATGTTCTCATTGCTTATTTACAACTGATGAAATCACAGAGCCAAAGACATTTTTTTTTCACACTCGGCTTCTTTAAAATGCGTATTTCTGACAATGGATGCTGTATGTATTTGCTTATCCTGCAGGTGACTATTTGCATTTGTCTATATTGATTCAGGTGTATTTTCAAATACGTAACGGCAGCTCTTTAGGGTCAAAACGGATATGTGAAAAGATAAGGAAGGAAAAGTTCTTCTATTTTCAATTAATAAGTCTACCTATCTCAAAACAGAAAAGAACAAAGCTATTGAAAATGTGTTTAATCACAGGCAGCAATAAGCAATGCTATTATACTTATCAACATAGAGAAAAAAATCATACATAATTTATTTAGTTCAAAACCCAATCACTGGAAATCATTCAGCTTGGCCCTGTGTATAGGAATTTTACACCTGTATTTCCAGCTTTAACTGACGTCTTATCATATTGGCTTTGTTTCATGCTTTCTGCCTCTCTTTTCCAGATGCTGCCTTTGGGATTGAGGTGAGTAGGAGAATTCTTTCTGTCACTTTTCTCAAGTATGTGGCCTGGTAAAGACATAACCAAAGGAATGGGAAAAACCTCCAGCCCGTAGATGTTCTGCTGGTTTTTGCCTAGTGTGACACTGGTGTCATTGTAATCAGATTCTACAGTGCAAAACATTAAATTTTACTGCTCTTGGCTCTACATCTATGCTGTATGTTAATAATGTTTTAGTAATAATGATACAAAATTTTTTGATTAATTAATTTTTCAGCAACTTTAGACTGGTCTAAGCTTTAATCTGGTCATATATAACTGGTTTTAAACTGATAGCAATAGACTGGTATCAGAACCTATGTGAGGGCAACCTAGTGAAAGACTAAAATAATGTGAGCTGCTCCAGCTTCCATGCACCAGGTCATTAGTCTTGGTCCTCTGAAAAAAAACATTATCAGGGTACTGAGAATGAAAGAGTAAAAACAGAAGTGCGCTGGAGGGGCCACAGGAATAGGAGAACAAGGGACCAGTGGAGAGCCTTTATAAAACGATGCCAAGTGAGCATGAGAGACCACCACTGATTTACCCCATCCAAGGGACTGCATGGCTATAGCCCTCTCCTCCTCCTCCTCTCCTGCTGTGTGGGAAGGGCCCTGCAGGAAGGATTCACCTGTTCCCAGACTGACCCACCAGCACAAGTTTTTGCTGTGGTAGTGAAAACTGGTTGTACTTGGTCACTGTCTCATACAAAATGACTTCTCCACCCTGTTGCTGTACATTCCCTTGGCAGGTGGACTGCAGCACGTATCCCAACACTACAAATGAGGAAGGCAAAGAGGTGTTGGTGTGCAGCGAGGCCGTCAGCCCCATCTGCGGTTCTGATGGAGTCACCTACGGCAACGAGTGCTTGCTCTGTGCCTACAACATGTATGTACTGCATGGGAGATCTCAGGCAGCGATGCTTAGGGCTCCTGGCAGCACCACTTTTCAATAGTCAGTGACCTATCTTGTCACTTGTGTCAGTTCCTTCAAAATGAGCTTGGGTATCACTTTGTGGTGCTCTGGTGCTTAGACTTTGCTTTAGTCGCTGTGTCTCTCTTTTGCTTGTGTAATTTATTCAGGTTTTTCTTCTCCAACTCAAGGATCAGCCAGATGACAGCTCTGAGAGCACATCTCATCACAGCTGAAGGATGGAGAGATGCTCTGCTCTGAGTTGTCCAAAATGGTCATAAAGCTCCCAGGGTTTTACATCCCTGCCAGCCACTCAGTTGCTTAGGGAGAATGGCACTACCTTCTCAAAAATACATATATGAACCTAACTGAGAAAGAGTCAGTTTTCCCTTGCATTAGTTACATATTTCCAGCACCTAGGATGTAGTGATGTCTTTGCTGAACTTCTAACATTTTTCTTTCCTTCTCCAGAGAATACGGAACCAATGTCAGCAAAGACCACGATGGAGAATGCAAGGAAGTTGTCCCTGTAAGTGAAACCAAGGGCAAAACAAGGGGCATGTCCTGCTTCTGAGTGCCCAAAGCTGCTTATGGAGTTCCCAAAGATGTAACTCAAACTCTAAACAAGAGCACATATGAGATGTCAGAATCTTGCAATGGCCATCTGCAAGTGGACTTTCATAGTGAGACACAAAAAAAGCGTTTTTCCTGCTGCGGTGGTATCCTACGTGGCCAGACAGAAACACTCACCAGATCTACTTGTTTCCTTTAAGCAAGTCTTCAGCAGTGTGCTGTTGTGTGTTCCCTCGACAGGTGGACTGCAGTAGGTACCCCAACACAACAAGTGAGGAAGGCAAAGTGGCGCTGCTCTGCAACAAAGACCTCAACCCCATCTGTGGTACCGACTGGGTCACCTACGACAACGAGTGCCTGCTGTGTGCCCGTAACCTGTGAGTACTGTGTGTGCTCAGGCTTAGTGCTCCTGGCAACTGCTCTTCTGAGTATCAGCACTTCTACCAAGGCCTTTTCTGTAAGGTGCTCGGACTTTGGTTCTCCTCTTTCCCTCATAACAAGACGTTGTTTTCCTTTGTGATTAGAAGGAAAACTGTGCCTTTAATCTAGAAAGAGAAGTAGAGGGCTGAGGGGGGATCAAACACAGGACAGAATGCTTCTCTGAAGTAAGTTATAAGGATCTGTGTGACAGACGCTGCCTTGCAGAGGACAACAACTAACCTAAGGGGAATCTACATTCCACACAACCTCTCTCCTCATCCACTGTAACGCTCTGGACTCTCTTGTCCTTCACATTATGCCATAAAACAACATTCTGGCAAGCAGTGACACCACCTGAGCTGGTGTCTAGAGCCATGTGGATACAAGATAAGCGGGATGTCTCCTCTATCCCAAACATTATACCTCAGACTGACCAGCATTGCTGGGACATGGGGTTCAGCAGAACAGGTTGCTTGTAGAGCTCCCTAATGCAGTTCTCTTCCCTTTCCAGAGAGGCTGGAACCAGTGTTGGCAAGAAGAATGACGGTGAATGTAAGAAGGAAATTGTCACAGTAAGTGAATTGTGTGATGAGGGACTGGGTTTTGGTCCTGCTGCTGTCAGAGGAAGCACTGCCAGTGTCTGCAGCAGCCCCCCAGACCAGCAGGGTCCTGCAGGAGTGTAACTGCTGCTGTGCTTCAGCATAGGGAAGATTTTCTTTTCTCCACATATAATACCCATTATTCATGTGAACACCAGAATAGAGAGCAGGTGACTGCTCAGGAAGGGATCAGTGAAAGAATAGTAGCAGAAATAATCCATTAGGGCAGAATTGAGGAGTCTTAAAACTTCCTGTTTTAAGACTACAGGAGGGATACTGGACCTTTATAGAGGAATCAGCATCTACACTTCTCCAGAAGTTTCACCAGTGTTTTTCCATTTAATTTCCTGGACAGCTTGGGAACACAGTGCAATGTGATTACAGGCATGGTGCCTTCGCCGAGTGAACTTCTGCTGCTTAGAAATGCTGTGATCAGGTTATGATATACATCTCTTCAAACAGGATATTACGATCTATTTTTATATTATTAAATTCTCCTGGCATAGGAGAAACTGACACCACAGTTTATATCAGATGTGCAAAGAAGTTAATTACTTTTAGTTAGATTGTTATCATCAGCACTGCAGCTGTAGCTCAGGGTTCAAGCCCTTCTGCTATTGTCTCCTTCACATCAGACTCTTATTTTTACTTTTATTTTTATTTTGCAGGTTGACTGCAGTGACTACCCTAAACCTGTCTGCTCACTTGACTACATGCCTCTCTGTGGCTCGGACAACACAACATACAACAATAAGTGTAACTTCTGCAACGCAGTCGTGTATGTACAAACACGAATCACATTTGTGTTATCATTTGCCTCCTATGGGTGCAAGTTTGCACAGTTGCCGCTTTCTTGTTTGCTGGACAGTGTTGATTAGGGATTTGGGGCAGGAGAGAATGCCAGCCACCGTGCCAACCATTCTTTTTTTTTTTTTTTTCATTAGAGCATACGAAGAGCTGTGTCTGCTTTGTTAGCATGAATGGTTTGAAGGCTATTTAACTTTAATGGAATTTTTCTTGCATGTTGCAAAAGAAATTACTTTTGAAATTTCACTATAGTTTCCCCCCAAATATTTTCAGTCTTAAGAATGGGTTAAATTTTTTTGCTCATCTCTTAATAATCAAACAGCTAATGGAATTCTGACTGTATGAGTTCCTTGGCTCTGGGGCAGGATCCCATCTGACACCATCTCTAGGAGCTAAGCTGTCTGATTCATTTTTATTTCTCCTCACTTTCAGAGACAGCAATGGGACTATCACTTTAAGCCATTTTGGAAAATGCTGAGTATCAGTGCTGAGAGAATTCATCACAGGATCCCCACCGGCAAATCCCAGCTAAAGACCTCACCTCAGTTCATCTCACCCTCTGGGGAACTCAGCTCACTCCTGATTTTCTTTCTCAATAAACTAAATCAGCAACATTTCTTTGTCTTGTTTCATGTGTTGTCTCATGAAACATTTGCTTCTGATTTGTTGAATGATGATGCCAGGCAGAATAGGTTATGTGCTCATAGCTCTGGGATATAACAAGAGCAACATCTTGCTCCCCTCCCTCTCATAAAAGGCAGAAAATTAAATACAGATGCAGAATCCCCAGAGCTGTGTATCTTTGCACATAAGTGATAGTTGGCCTGCATTAGTGTTCAGACCCTTTAGGTGTCTGACATTGTAAAGGGCTGGAGCGGTGACACAGGTATTCCTGGTGCATTTTCCCTGTGCAAGCAGCATCAGCAAAACCTGGTCAGACTGTGGTGTCTGTGCCCAGAGCTGTTCCCTGGACTCCTCAGCACCATCCTCACCTGAAGTGTAGCACTCTACAAAGATAGTCTGTGGGCAAAGCCCATATTTTTCAGACACGTGCATGGTCCCAGTCTATTTGTCTAGGTCCTCCAAATGACTTATTACTAGGTTTTTATCATCTTGAAATCATCCTTTAGCAACCTTTAAATGTTTTAAGATAAATGCCTTCCTAGGGATGGTGCCTGCTCCTACCTACTTGTCTTCTCTCTTAGTCTTTAATAACACAAGGCTCTTTGCCAGCCCAAGAAGTATTTCGGCAGTGTTTCACAATCCAAGGACAAAGTATCCTTCTGTTTTTTGAGAGTGTGACCTGTCATTGGCATATTGTCCATGAAATTTATTTTGCTTTTGTCCTCTGTTTGAGTATTGAATTGGTGGTTTTTTGATCCACACAAGAGTAACATAAATAAATTGGACATATCCCTTCTAAAATATAATATCTCCCACATGCATTTCTTCTGGGAGTCTGCTTGCTCTCCTTGATGGAATGAGGTCATCCCAAAAAGCGGTGCTTTGGTGGTACAACAAAGGATTTATGCTGAGATGGGCAGATGGATGAAGCAGCGATTTCCAGATTGGGTTCAACTTTTCTGGGATCCATGCTAGGGCCTCACATCATTCTGTCATCATCATACTAAAAGCTTATTACTGCAATGCTAATGGATTTTAAGGGAAATAACAATTGTAAATTTGCATAATCCCATAAAAGTTGCTCCATTCCTTGTCCTTTCCAAGTACTCCTTTCAGTGTCTGTGACACACTCTTGCTTGCCTTCCCAGTTCATTGTTTTCCTGGTTTCACTATAACTTAATGACGCTTTACTGTGGTGAAGCACAAAAATAAAAGGAGAGACTTTCTGCTACAGAAGCATTTCATTCAATGTTTTTCTCTTGAAAAAACACCGTACATAAATAGGCACCGATACGTGCACACAGAGAAAATCTGACAGCAGTTGCTGCTCAGGTTTGTACAGTCGCTCTTTTGCCTGCAGGAACTTTCTACGATCCTTCAGAAGGAAACTGTCACATATTTCACTTACAATAACGACACAGAGGGTGTATCTAACACATCCAAACTTCTTGTGACTCCCGTTGATGAAGAAACATCCTTCTTGGCTTACAGCACGGCTTCCCTCTATCGGGATTGCCACTGCAACAAAAGACTGGGAATGTTATTCCAGAATAAGGGTGGATAAGGCAGATATGAACATGCACAAACACGCGCAAGCACACACACACCCAACCGTGCGGGCGGGAATATAAGCGCAGTTACCAGCTGAGGGCAGAATCAGGGCTGTGTTTACTGAGCAAAAGCCAAGTGCTGCTGCTCACAGACGCTCCAGCCACCATGAAGGTGACAAGTGTGTTGCTGCTGATCGCTCTGGCCCTTTGCTGCATCTCAGGTGAGTTGCTCCACTGCCTCCTGCTCTGCCTTTGAGTAAGCGCTGGCTGTCTTTAGAACCACAAAAAAACATCCCCAGACTGGAAAGAGCTTCATTCTGCAAGGACTTATTTACTCCTAGAAAGATAGTGTTGAAAAGACTTGACATCAAAGACTATCACTTATGGGGTAATATTTTAGCAACAGAACTGAGTGGGTAAGAACAACTGTGGGAACAGCTCTACTCTCAGCGCTAGTTTATGCATAATGAAAGAAGTGACACGTACGTGGTACAACCCAGAGAGTCAGACATCCAGTATTTAACCTCTGAAATGTCGCAGAAACACAAATGATTTTACTGAATGAAAATGAATGTTTCCTGTAGTCATCCTGAACCGAGATGCAATTTGAGAGCCTGAACTGCTGTAGAAGCTTTATAAATTTACATCTCACTAAATACTCCTCTTGCTAAAGAATAACAATGGCAATGCATATAAGATGCTGCCTCTGTGTACTTGTCAGCTTTATGACCCTGCTTGCCTCAATAACTTGATTTGCTTTGAGTACATGTCCTGCTCCATCTTTTGAACCATGAAAACTGTCTTTCTCTTCTTTCATTTTCCATACCTTTTTCCATCTTGACTGTAGCCCTCATTAAAAAAAACAATAACAATACTACAGAATCAACATAGAGTAGGGCACAAAATTTTGCCTGAAATTCCTTTTGTCTAAGAAGCAATTTGCTAACACACAGTGAATTGGAAGTTGTGTATTCAGGGCATTAATTCTCAGATTTTAATTCTAGCAGAATTCATGAATTACATTTGTAACATATTTCCTTTTTTCTTCTTTTTTTCCCAGCTACTGGTGCAGTGCAGGTAAGGGACAGATTTTTCTACTTTTGATCCTTTATTTCCTTAAAGGAGTTTTTGTATGAGTCCTTACTAATCACATTGTGACCGAGCCTTTGAAAATCCTGAGACATCCAGCTGTCTGAACAGTATTTACCATAGATATTGTTGGGTGAAATTGCCATTTTCATCCGATGACAGTTTTAACAAGTAGGGCGATATCCAGTTCATGTCCCACTTATTGTCAAAGTTACTGCAGCATCATGTACAGTGGTTACTCAGGCTCTACCTGGCGGGAGGCAACATATTACTGTATCCTGCCCTGTCCCTGGGCTTTTTCTCAGCATCTGCTTCTGGACAATAAGTGGTGAGCTCAGGGCGTGTGTGGGGTCTCCTAATGTCACCTTTCTTGCATATCTTTGGTTGAGAGCTTTTTTTTTATTATGAATACAGTTTGCAGCCCAGTACTGCAATAACCAGCTGGCATCCAGAAACTTCTGCACCATGGAGTACATGCCACACTGCGGGTCTAACGGTGTCACATACGGCAACAAATGCTTATTCTGCAATGCATACGCGTACGTATGAAATCAATCTCTTCACTAACTCAATTAACTTAGCTCGAACTAGCAAATTAGACTTGGAGACTGGTTGGAGAAGTAAAGTTCTTTTATTTTGTTTACCTGTTATTTCATCAGCAAGGTTTGTTTTTGTTTTTGTTTGTTTGTTGTTTTTTTAATTGGGAGAGTCTACCAGGAACTGTTTTCTTACAGATATAAAGAGATAGCATAGAGTTCTCCATTTCCCTCTTAAGTGACTTGCTGAAGAGCCTTCTTCCAGCAAAAAAAGTCGGTTTCCTACAGACTATTTGTTCTTTTAAATTAAGAATTTATCTTGTCTTTGTATGTTAATAATAAAAGAAAATGGATGGAATATAGTTCAGAAGTTCCTCTGTGGTGTAGAGGAGAGACAGACCAACAGTAAAAGCTCAGATGTTCCATCTCTGAGCTACTGATTTCCTTCTCTGCAGGAGAAGCCGTCGGACTCTTGAACTGAGGTCTATGAGTGCCTGTTGAGTTCTCAACAGCCTTCATCTGAGAAAGAGGATCCCTCCCTGGCAATGTTCCCCATGGCAGATGATTTCCTAAAGTCTTGACCTGACCCTTGAAAGCTTCTGATAAACCTTGAAACCTCTGCTTAATAAAAAAAAAAAGCCATCAGCATTTATGTCTTGCCTTACTCTCATTCTGGTTTTACCTAAGATGTTGCATGATTATAACGCTGCAACAGTCCTGGGGTGTGGGAATTAATGAGGAAATTATTCCAGGGAGAGGGAGTACAATGTTCTGATCTACAAAAAAATCAACCCCAACTGCAAAGGCAATGGGTAGATCTTGTGGGCATCAGCCTTCATCCAGCTTTCCGAAAGAAAACCAGGGCTGAAGATGCATCCTGCTGCTCCTGTCGATTTACTCCACTGAGGGTATCACAGACAGACTCTCTGCTTGGGTGAGAGGAACGGCCTCCCTCCACAGCTGCTTCTGTCAAATACCTGCAGCCTCACCCAGCATTACTGTTTTGCGGACTGGCAGCATGAAGGGGCCCCAGGTGAACCTCAGTGTTCACATAATTAAAGGCAGTCCCAAGATTGTTGCAGATGGGGTGTTTTGGGGTTGTTTTGCAAAAGCCACGGTGGCAAAGAGGGTCTTGCTGGCACCATGAGCTGCTCATCCTTGTTTCAGTTTTCCAGGGTTATCCCCAATTTCTTATGCCCACAAGAGAAGAGGCAAAGAAGGTGAGATTCCAAACTGCCTCTCCTCCCCTCACAGGCAGGACTGGAAACCCACCTTTTTCAACCTGCTTTGCTTCCCAAAGCAATGGCACAGGATGTTTTCTCTGGGCAAGCAGGATACCTTGCTGCCCATGTTCGTGTTTGTAATGTTCATTGCTGTGGGGTATTGCAGAAAACCAGTGGGCAGCCAGTCCTAACAGACCTGATGTTCAGAGTACTGCTAACAATCACTGCCATTCCAGCACCTCACCCATCATTGAGCTGCTGCTTGTACATAGTGACGTCAGCTGCCACTTGAAGAGGATCCTTTGAGATTCTTCGGCCTCTGGAAATCTCGGCTGATGAAAGGAAGGTCTCAGAGTCATAGTGTTAATTTATTATTCATTAAAAGTAAGGCGCTGGCAGTGCCTCGTGCTATACAGGCAGCAAGTCTCATAGTCAAATACTTAATGATCTTAAGTGACAATGTGTCACTTCCCAGAGACTGGAGAGAGCGCTCTCTAAAAGGAGACAATTTATTTCCAAAAGACATGACTCTCTGCAACCATTTAGTGCCAAGTCCCTTCCTGAGGCTGGAATATCCCTTCTGTGAGAGGGGGGTCTGTGTGCAGGAAGGCATTTCAATGTCAGATGTGATCTCTGAGGACCAAGGTAAATTGAGGCTCTGGGAGGTAGTACCAGGGGTGTGGGGCTCGCGGGGTTCATGCTCCTTCTTCTCCCTCTCCACAGAATGTGGGAATTGGGGTAAGAGAACACCAGCTCCAGCACTTATTTTCTTTCCTGGGGAGCAGCAGAGAGGATGAGGATGGCCCTCAGGAACCATGATGCCTTGGAGACAAGAAGAGCTCCTGATCGCGCTGAAGATCCCCGTGATCCTCAGAGGGCATCTTCCAGGGACCCTGTCTGCTAAACAGGAAAATCCATCAGGAGATTGAGGGGAAACTGTGAGTAGAAAGGAACCGGGACAGATCCTCCTCCCTGATGCAGAGCTAGCAGTGTTGCTCAGGTGTAACAAAGGGCAGAGCAGGACCCCAGTGGCACTCCCGGCCTCCTGCCCCAGTAGGCTCATCCTCCCATCCTGCTCCTTAGGACAGAGAGAAAGAAAGTCCTCTTTTATGGGCACCTTGTTGGAAATAATTTTTTTACTGCTTCTCAATAAAATCCTGCCACAACAGCACAAAATCCTCTCACCATTACTAATCTAACTCTCCCTCCAGGAAATTCAAGGCAGGAAACATTGTCTGCCTGCCGAGGTATCTTATGGTACGATTCTCTAAGCAGTATTCTTGGCACTTCATGTCATTATCTGTTGTTTGTGAATGTAGGAAATGCCATTCAATTACCTCACAACCTGATTAACACATTGCATGTACTTATTTCGTTCTGCTTTATTTTATATTCATCTTTCTGTTTTAGTGAATTATTCTACTTGTTACTGGCCAAAATATACCTCAGGCCAGTCTAGACCTTTCTGTTAATGCAGTTTCTCTCTGAGGCTTCATGCAGGATAAATGGTTTGTTATTATGCTCTTTCTTGATGAAGAGAAAAATAAAACTATATTTTAAAAGGAAGTTAATTGTGGACGTCATTTTGGGGGACTGTCTGTGTCAGAGCTATTGCAGCGAGGCAGAGCTAAGATTTACCGCAGGACTGGGATCCTCAGCCTTTTGCTATTAGTATGCAGCTTCCAGACATTTAAATTATTCCAGACACTCTTGCCTATGATATCATCTATTCTTAAAAGACTGGAGATATGCAGGCAGCAATCAGATGGCTGAACTACACGGAGAAATATTAGGTGAGTGCGGCTTAGAGCAGGGGGTTTGCTGGCTGTAAATTGAATTTATGTTCTGATAGAAGATCCAGCTCTGCCCCCGTGTGCAGAGGTCTGGGAACAGCAACGTGTCTGGGAGCTCTTCCAATGTTCCACATCGCCAGTCAACCACAGAGGAACGCAGTTTGCGCCGGTTTCTACAGCAGCACAGGCTCGAGTGTGGTGCTGCTTTGTTCTCGATTACGGTGTGACAGCAGGGTACCGGAGCAAGGACAATGATACCTCAGCAGGAATAACAACACGTGGACTTGCATGCACACATCCACCTTTTTTTTTTTTTTTTTTTTTAAAAAAAAAGGGTATCACTGCTCTTTGTAGCCAGATGAAGCCTGTGACAAGTTTTAAACTAAAGCAGGGAACATCAATGAAGAATTCTGTAGGTCATGGTAGACTATGGACTTGCTTGAGATAGGGAGTCTCAAGACAAGAGCAAAAGCTTCCCTGGAGAATATCACTGCTATGGGAAGAAATACTTCTGGATTAGAACGTGGGTAGAATTTCCAGAATTATTGGAAATTTACCTTAATACAGGAGAACCCATCATATCACTGCCAACATTTACCCCATTCATGTGGCCATAACCTTCTTGAATGTTTGCCCTCTAAGAACCTAAAACAGCAGGAAGAGTTTTATTTCAGCTTTTCTATGGATCTCATGTCTGTAGAAATGCTAAAATAATCCTATGGTGAAAATCACTTTACTGAGCCCACTGTCATGATATTTCTGAATCTCAGAAAACAGAATCTCAGAATCACTGAATAGTTTAGGTTGGAAGGGACCCCTGGAGTTTATCCAGTCCAACTCCTCTGTCAAGGTAGGGTCACCTGGAGCAGGTGACACAGGAACTCATCCAGGGGGGGTTTGAATGTCTCCAGAGAGAGAGACTCCACAACCTCCCACGTATCTGTTCCAGTGCTCTGCCACCATCAGTGTAAAGAAGTTCTTTCTCATATTGAGGTGAAACTTGTGTTTTAAGTTTAAGGTCATTACTCCTTGTCCTGTAGCTGGGCACCACTGAAAAGAGTCTGGCACCTTCACACATATCACAGAGGGGTTTGGGTAGGTGGATGCACTCTGCCCTTCCCATTTGCAACACGTGTATCGCATTTCCTGAGGCTCACTGTCTGGGAACAGTTGGTTTTGACTGTTCCAAATGCCTGTTTTCAGCCCATCTTCTTCCCCACAATTACTCCTGTCCTGTTCCCTCTGTTTCCTATTAATGTTGCTCCTTGTGCAATCTCTGTTACATCTGCCCCAGCAGCTCTCCCAGCCCTGACCTGGCTGATGTCCATTATCTCCTATCCCTTCCCACAGACCCTGTAGCAGGGCTCCTTATTTGCTTCTCCTTTTCTCCCTGTTGCCCCGTGAAGTGGCAGGAGTTATGGGAGGAGAAGAACTGCTTTTGGAGCAGTCCTGGCTGGCCACTCAGACCCTCAGAAGCCGCATGGGATCAGAGGGGATCTTCCCAGGGGATCTTCCCAGCGGATCTAGCTAATGAAAGGGCGGGTGTTGGGCAAACATGAGAGCAGTGCCACTCCCTGGCAGATACCTGCCATGCTCAACAGCTCCTGTGTGACTTCAGTCTTGCAGGAGAGGAAACAGAAGCATCACAGCTTCTGCTAGCTGAGGATCTCTGATCTGGAGGTGGGTACGGAGAAGCTCAGGCTGCAGGGCTGAAGAGGAGACAGACTCTGTTCCTGTAGCCTCCCCAGCCACCACAGAGCTGGCAAGCACCACATCCACCAGCAGCTGGTGCAAGTTGTGAGGAAGCTTTGTTTTCAGGTTTTGGCATTCCTGTAGCCTCCCCAGCCACCACAGAGCTGGCAAGCACCACATCCACCAGCAGCTGGTGCAAGTTGTGAGGAAGCTTTGTTTTCAGGTTTTGGCATTCCTGCCCCTGGAAAATAATAATTATTAATGCTTCCGTGACTAATGCTTCCTTTCCAAATATGCTCACAATCAGCTCAAGGAATCTGAAAGTCAACTCACTCAGGATACTAAGAATGCAACAGAAACAACTTTCAAAGGAACCCTTCAACTTGTGATATTTGTGAATGAGATCCAAATAGCATTATTCATTTATTTTTCAGGAAAATGATTTCATTGATATAATCAGGCCAAATCCCACAAGCTCTATTCTGTGACTACAATTCCCTTACACTTTCAGCTATGTTTTTATGATTTATCTGCTCATGCCAAGTGTTGAACATCTCCCAGGATAATAAGAAAACCAATTCTGATTTTCTATTTAAAACTCAGGCTGCCTTTAAGCCACATGTATGAATCAAACCTCTTCTAAACCACAAACAAGTTCCATCCGTCACTTCCTTCCATGACTACCTTAAATCAAAAATTTATTATTTCATGCAATATCCCTTATTTGTTTTTCCATACACTTGTGATAGAGTTGAACCACTTAGCAGAGCCTAGCACATTATTTATCACTTATCTTCCCTAAAACACGACTTTCAGCTGACACTCTAAATTTAATGCCATATAATTGTGGGGGAAGGGGGGAGCCTAACGGCTCGCCTTCTGTTTGCAGCTACTGGAAATTTTTCTGGAATGTCTTTGGTAT